AAAGGCATTCTGATAGGATTCATGTTCGGGCGAGTTAGAATATAATATTTACCCCTAATCCTCCTAGTATTGGAGTTTCTTAATAAAAACTTGCATTAGTCCATTAAAACTCATTGCCCTGTGTTGCACTAAATTATTAGGACATAGTCCGTATAATAACTCTTGTTTGAGTAATAACAAATTCTTATTTGATACTAATATTTTTTGAGATGATATATTACAGAGAAATATCAATATAAGATGTGTACGAGGCGAAACGACATGAAAATCAGCTCAAACGCTAATTTCAGTCACCGAACCATCAACGGTCAGCAGAGACCTATCGATGGCTATGAGGTCATCGATGACTACAAGAACTAATTGATGAAATCTGCAATCAGCCAACTTTACCATCAATTGGTTCCTGCAACCATCGATGGTTTTAAAATTTTATGATCTTTACATGAGTGGTGTTTTTATCTAAATGATTTCATATTTTGATTTTTTTGGATTTTTTGGAAACTCTTAATGCATTTTTAGGGGGTGTTTTATAATACTTGTGTTTACTTACACTTTTCATGGATGCATGAATGTATGAGGAGTATTATATATCTTTTGTTTTTGTTATGAGAGTGTATTTGTATTTATATATCTCAAATATGCATATATTTTAGTATTTCTGATTTCAAGTTTGATTTACTAAAAGGGGGAGATTACTAGGACATAGTCTGTACAATAGCTCTTGTTTGAGTAATAACAAATTCTCATTTGATACTAATATTTATTTAAGATGATATAGTACATGTAAATATCGATATAAGATGTGTACGAGTCGAAACGATCCGAAAATCAGCTCAAACGCTGATTTCAGCCAACAAACATCGATGGTAGCAAGGAACCCATCAATGGCTGTGAAGTCATTGATGGCTACAAGAACTAAATGATAAAATTCTAGAGATAGATTTTCAAACCATCGATAGCATGTTGGAAGCCATCAATGCTCGGGAGTAACCATCAATGGTAAAGTCGGTTGATTGCAGATTTCTAGTTTTATTCTTAGTCGTTCATTGTTGTTTTTGATCTCCAAGCTCTATTATGTTTAGGATGTCTCTTTTCTGTTCTATTAAAGGCTATATATAATTGAAAGAGATGGAGAGAAGGGAGAGTTCCATGGGTTTTGATTTGCGAGAAATTACATTGAAGGATTTGACCCCGGAGCCTCGACAAACTTTCACTCGTTGTGTACAACATCACTAGATCATTTTAGCGAGGAGAGTTTCCCTTGGATTTTAATATAGTATAAAAGTATACCTCTAATGTTGCAAGTGCACAACTATCAAGTTATAGTATAAAACGTTATCGATCCCATGAAGAAGGTGTTTGTAAGAGAAAATCAAAATTGGTTCTTATGTTGTGTGTGTAACTATTAGGGTGATGGGTGTGATTGTGGAGAGATAAAGAGAGTGAGAGTGATTGTATGTAAATAAAAACAAAACGAGATTAAGAGTGGAGAGATAAAGAGTGGATGTGATAAAGGGTAAATATACACAAAACTAACAACAATGAAAGAAAGAAAGATGAAGGAAATAAAATTAAGAAACAAATAAGAGAAAAATCAAGGAATAAGGGAAAAATCAAGAATGTAAGAGATGGAGGATTCAATTAAAGATATGAGGAATCAAGAATTAAATCCACTAGCTAATCTCACTTATAAAATATGAACCATTCTCTTTTTATCACATTCTACTTTAGATTTATTAATTATAGACTATCAAATCACTTAAGGAAAGCATAACCTAAACACTCATGAAAAAAATAACAACTAAATAGTAATTCTAAAATTCCTTCAATCAATTTGATCATTAGTTGAACATCCTAAACATGATCATTTTAAGCATAAGAGAATGATTAACAAATCATAAGAGAAAAAAGTTAGTTTTATGTAATTTCTAGAGTTCCCACAAGTATTAGTTCCACGTCTTTAAAAAAAGGGTAACTCCCTAGAGCGTTCTAGCCTAAAGACAAATCAAAGAAAAGAAAAATAAACAAAAATAAAAAATAATCGAAAGAGGGTTCTAACCTCAAGGCAAATAGTAAAATAAAATAAAATTTAAACTACAAAATAAATTGTAAGAAATAAAATCTAAACTACAAAATAAATTGTAAGAATTTAAAGCAAGAAAGTAAAGACATGAAAGTAAATCTATCTGTAAGCATGAAAATAAATCTAAGGTAAGAGGGTTCTAGCTTCTTGACTATAAAAACAAAAAAAGAAAGCAAAATATAAATTTATTGATAAAAAGAAAATTTACATCCCAAGAGGGTTCTAGCCTTAAGATGATAGCAAACCTTCATCTTGATCTATATCTTCATCTCACCTTCATCTTCATAATCAAACAAAGAGAAGAAAAGAAAAAAATATATGAAGAGGTGAAAATATATAATTTTATTAACTGCAATAAAAATTTACAATTTGGAAGGCCTTCTCAACTAAGAGTAACTCTCCTCTCCAAAAAGGAGTTTTTACAAAAATTTTCACACTCAAACCCCTCACCCTCTACCCTTATTTATAACCTACAGCAATGAATAGGAAACACTAGATTTTACTTGGTCTCTAAGAAATAAATCTTAGCCATAAAATGAGTTTGTTACGGATTAATTAGTCGGCCAATCGGTTGACCAATCGGTTGATCGACCGATTGGCCAATCGGTTGGCTAATCAATTGGAATTCAAAAATTCTAAAAATGCAGTTAGCTTCGTCTCATCAATAGGTGATTTTCATATATTATATATTAAATTTTGCCTTTGGATTGAGAGATATCGCCGTTTCTTTGTGGTTAACATCTTGAACATGATTTTCACTTGATTTCTTTTCATATTTGATCTTATTTCTTCGGCTTCTGTACATTGCTTGGCTTGATCATGGGCTTCAATAAAAGGTTAAAAAATAAGAAAATTTGAGTTCTTTTTGAGCTTTTATTCATTAAATCTTCATTAACCGGCAAATTAAGATAAAACATGTTTATTAGTGACATTTTTATTTAAACAAAATTATAAAACCCCGAAAATTTGAATACTTTATGATAAATAATAATAAATATGTTATACATTTATAAATAATATATTATGATGTTTGAGTATGCTAGGAACTGATTTGAGATTAATTCAATGTATATATATGT